CCTGTTGAGAGCTCATTTGCGGGGAAAACGGCGTTCTTCTCTACGAGTTTGATATGTTCCTTGAAAATTGCCATTTGGGCAGTGAAATGCATGGGAACAACTTGTGACAGCGGCAGCTTGTAAACTCGTGGTAAAATCATGGCAGCTACCCAACATAATTCTTAAATAAGACTTTTTCTACAATTTTAGAAATGCAAAAGAAAAATCGACTTTCATCTTTTAAAATGGCACCCTTTCTTTTTTCAAGTATTTTACTAGCTGCTACCCTGTAATCATGTATTTCTTCTGTCCCATTATTTTATTAATGTTCAAATATCCATGAAGTTTCAAATAATTTAAAAATGTCATTTTGACCATTCTGATCAGAAATCAATTTTAATTTTCTCAATTTAAACCATTTTTGAAACATGGTACCTAGTTCTATGAGGGTAGCTTACCCCAGCCCCTGAAAACAAAGAATACCCCCATATCTCCTTATTAGTAATACGTACGGTTTTGAAAATGCCGTAAATGGACTCAGCACCATCGAAAACCTATGGGTAGACATAACATGTGATAGTGTATCTGATAAGCTTCAAATTTCCATTCAGACAATCACTGCCAAAATTACTTGGAACACCTAACACTTTGGGGTGTGCTTTTCTATTTTTTATTTGTTTTCTTGAATACTACCACTTCCGCCCCCCTTTCCCCCCAAAACAATGTTGAAAGTATAGAAAAATATCAAACAATCCACAAGAAAAAGCGTACTCCATAACCCCTCTCTTTTTTCTAAAGTAAATCAACATTGTTCCTAGGGGGAAAGGGGGATGGCTGAATTTGCCTTTGAAAACCTACGTTAGTGTTCCAAGACTTTTGGCAGTGATTGTAGTTTGTCTTCAGGAACAATCACAAAACTGATTCTGCCCATGTACTGTGCCAGTGCAAACTTAATCTCTCTCATTTCACCTAAGGATAAAAAATGCATTCTGAAATAAATATACAAGCTTTAGTTTTGAAAACTAGTTTCAATTTATAATTTAGAAACAATTATTAGCCTGATCCAGTCAATCAAACGAAAATCTTCATAAAAACTACACCACATTTGTGACTCTTAAAAAATATTTTTTTCACATTTTAACAGTATTTTAATTAAGAAAATTTTTTTCAGCAGTATCTTTTATGAAAACTATTTAACTGAATATGAATTTGAAATATTTCTACACACCTTTCACAGCTTTTCTTTGTTTTATGAATGGGTCAGAGCAAGGAATAAAATTCATTTGGAATCTTGTAGTCAACATTTCAATATGCACAATTCAGACCTTCAAAATATCAGTCTCTGACATTTTTCGGCAGAAATTCAATGGTTTTAAGACCAGTTGTTCTATTGTAGGTTAACGAATGACAGGCATCTCCCAATAAGTTTCCAATTAAACAAGAGTTATCAGTATCAGTTGCCATAAAGAGCAGTGGTCTAACCGAGCAGTAATAAATTGCAAAATAACCAACATTCCTCTCATTGGGAATTTTAGCTTGTTTTCTTCACAATGATGATTTTGATGTAATTCATGTGTCTTTGGAACTATTTTAAATGCTTGTGAAATCTTTATTTACAAAATTCAAAGAGGTGAAATTAATAAAATATATGCCTTGCAAATATTATCACTTTCACTTTGTAGTTGCAGGATCTTTAAAAAATTTTTTTGAGTTGCAGACAATGTAGTTTGACACATATTAGAAAGGTGTGAAAATTTCATCATAGATCTTAAGAGGATTATCAAGGAGCAGCAATAGCTTTCTTACCAGTGCAGTCTCTAAAAAATTTCACTTGAATTGAATCCAATAGCAGGCAAATGGCAGGATTGAAAAATAAAAGAATTTCCTAAAATTCTAGACAGTTTTATAGCCAATAAAATTCCTTGAGTTGAGTTTGAAAGAGCAAATTAGAAAAGTCAAAAAGAACAAAGAGAAAATGTCACCAAATCAAGGGCAAAAATGTTTTCACTACACCTGACTGACTTATATTAAAAACAATTAGACTATTTTACTATATAGCAATTATATTAAAAGCAATTATATTATACTATTTTTAAAATGCAGTTTAAAGCGAAGATTTTGCTGTAATTGTATTCCCATTTGATTGTGAAGTCGTTTTTTATGCTTTTTCAAACTGATATGACCTTAAAGAGACATCAACACAAAAAATGGCATTGCCAAAAAACATTTTTATTTTATTAATTTATGTTATTGTACCAGAAAAGTGCCTACGCCATACTATTCCCAATCATGATTCCAATTCCAAACCTTTTCATCTTGCAGGAGAAGCAATAAATCAAGAATATTTTGAATCTGATCTTGACTGTGATTATTTTTTTACAAATGCAAGTGTATCAAACTTTTTATCACAGATCCAAAAACATGTTTATATAAGGGTCGTTTCTTCTAACTTTATTTCAGAAAATGGTTTAGTCTTGTTCAGCTTACAGTTGTACAAAGTGTGCTTCTAAAGACTCACGTGTCTCTTTCCATCGATTTCCTCTTAATGACAAAGAGCTTTGCAGAAAATGGGTTTCGGCAACGAGACGTGTTGACTTCCAGCCCACCTCAAGCAGCACTCTTTGCAGGGAACACATTCTTCCAAAATATGATGTTGACCAAACAGCAAAGAAGCAAAAACTTGAGGAAATTGCAGTGTCATCTCTATTTTCTTTTCCAAAACACTTAAATCAATAGACCTTTTTCCTGTTGCGGCCATCATCTTTCAGCGCAATGCATTGTGGGATTGCCAGGGGGCAAACAATCTGCACTGCAGTTTTCTTGCTCCGCAGGTAAATAAGTGCTTCGCTTCAAGATTTGTTAAAGTTTACTCAAATTTTGCTCGCTTTCCTTATTTTACTTCGACGTTATGGGTAAATCTGATCATTGTGCTGTTTGGGGCTGTGATAATGATCGCAGATATCCTGACAAGTATGTAATAAAAGAACACATTTCAGCATTTGATGGATGCAAGCACATTCGTTTTTGGTCATGCAAAGAGAAATTCTTCCGTACGTGGTCAAAGCTCATCAACAGGGAGGTTATCGACAAAACATCTGGCAAAAAAACTCTTTTGAAAGTTGGGAAATCAACAAAGGTATGTTCCAACCACTTTCAATACGGAAAGCCAACAGATTCCTGTCCGCACCCCACATTATTTTTGAAGGGGTATGATGGGCCTAGTCAACCAAAAAGAAGGCGATTGGATCGTTCAGATCTTTTCAATCCGACACACAGTGAAGCAACACCTGAAGCAACAACAAATAGAGTTAAAATCAGTGAAACTGTAGAAATTGATAATTTTCACGTGTCAGAAGTCATTGCTGGAGAAAATGCTGATAACCATCCTGTTCATGAATCTGTTGATATCACTCAAAGTGGCTTGGACACTTCCAAAGAACGTCGTGCACATCGATTGTCTTGGGATTCTATTTCTGGTAACAACCCCATCATAAAATTATATACAGGTTGCCGCACTGCCAAAGTTTTTTTGTTCATTGTGGATCGTGTCAGATCAAAGCATGGCAAGATCTCTTATTTTAAAGGCAAGAATTCATTCCAGGTTAAAAACTACCAGCACAGCCCATCAAAGCCTTTGTCAAGAAAAAAGACTGGACCATCCCGCCAACTCAAACTGGAAGATGAAATTCTTTTAACCCTGATGCGCATTCGTCTGGACCCTCCAATTGAAGACCTTGCTTTTCGATTTAAAATTTCTGCTAGCCATGCATCAAAAATATGTACAACCTTTTTTGTGTTGTTGGCGCGAGAGCTGGAGCCACTCATTTATTGGCCAACACCAGAAGAAACTCTAGCATTCAAGCACCCCCACTTTTCTGGGGACTTTAACAAGGTTGAAGGCATTGGTGATTGCACTGAACAAGTTATTCAAAAGCCTGCAAATTCCAAGGCTCAGTACCAAACATACAGCACATATAAGAGCAGAAATACCCAAAAGAAATTAACATTCTGTACAAAAGGAGGATCAATTAGTTTTGTGTCAAGGTCCTATTCTGGCTCTGCTTCAGATCGTTTTATCACAGAAGACTCCAATGTTGTGCAGAAATTTCATCCTGGGTTTATTGCTATGTTTGACAAGGGTTTCACAGTTCAGGATATATTTCTTCCCAGGCAAGTTAAAGTTAAAGTGCCACCCTTCGTTCGAAGCAAAAGACAGTTTACACCCTCAGAAATATCTGAATGTAAACGAATTGCAAGAGCAAGAATTCACATTGAGCGTGTTATGGGAAGACTGAAGGAATTTAGACTACTGGATCATACTTTACCTCTAACCTTGTTAGATATAATTGATGAGGTCTGGTTAATTGCAGCTGCTATTACCAATTTGCAGCCACCACTTGTAAAAGGACAGCCTCGTGACTAGCCTCAAGTTTAAAGTAGTTCTTAATTGCTTATTTTGAAGTTATTTCTATGCAGGGTTTTACTGTAACTGTTAAATTTATCCGAAGCTGTGACCAGGTATGAATATGAACAAACATGAATATATAACGTTAATAGAACAAAATCAGCCCTAATACAACGGCTAACATATTCGAGAGTAAAATAGCGTGGTAAGCGAGTTATCTAAGAGTCCATTGTCCAATAAGCTTCAACATAACGTAACACGTGACTACAGCAAGCATAAGATAATAATAATCATATATTCTAATAGTAACGAGTCTCCTATCTCCAATAAAACTGAAAAGAACTACAACTTAAAGCATATGTTTAGTTATATTAGTAATAATCTTGAGTCTAACTTTTGAAGTTCCTTTTGTGCTTCTTCACTATCCAGTCTATCTTCAACCTTTCGCAAAAGTCCTTTCATTACATTTCTGCATGCAACAACATTTTCTATTGTCCCTGAAAATAGCTCAGGTAGCACAATGCTTTTAAAAAAATGGACAAGTTTTGGAACCTGTTTTATTTCATACTGTGGATTTCTTGGAATTCTTACAGTCAATGACTCTGGGCAAAAAAACTTAAAAATCACAATATTCTGCACCAGTGACAAACATCTGATGTTGAACTTGTGTGTAGTATTTATGTGCAGGCTTCAAAAATATTTCATCAGCATTCTTTGACAAGCATGACTCTGGCTGCATGAGATAGTCTGCAATATTTAAATCACGGCTCTTCCATGGGCATTTTATTTCTAAAACACCGAATCCACAGCATTTGCAGCTTATAACTCCATCAGGGCTGGCTCCCAGGAAAGGCAACTGTTCAGAAATGAACAAACCAGTAGTTTTACTTGAAAAGTGTTTGTGCTTTGTTCTGTTCTTTCTGGTGTACCTTTTGAAGGCAAACTTTTCATTATTCTTCCCCCAGTTTAATGATGCACTATGAACAGAAGGATTATACATGCAAATTTTTGCACATAGATTTTGGGATGATGATAAATTTAAAATTTGATGGTTGTCATCAACTTTTACCAAAACTTCATGTGCAGAAGATGCTGTTATTACACCATGACGATACTGGAACCATTTTTCTGAGGATGCTTGATCAGCAGTGATTGCATTTATTCTTTTCAATTCAGCAGCAGACCGGTGTAATTTCAATGCTGCATGAAAACAATCAGCTTGACACTTAGAAGCGATCTCAGGCAATGTAGAAGGGGGCAGAACAGTTTGGGAAGAGGATGTTAAGGAACTCTTCATTGTTGTGTTAACAAATTGGAGAACAGCTTCCCAGTCAGCTTTGGTAAAGGCAACATTTAAATCTTGGATGGAACGGGGCTCATATTCACTTCTTGATGGGGTTTGAATGCAGTCATCATTTTCTGGATGATGATGCAAAATTTTAACAGAAGACATTTGACTAGGCTCGTGGATTTTTTCATTCTTCTTGTATGTTCTTACACTCCATTGCTGTTTCTTGCAAGTACAAGACCTGTTGTTGCCAAGTCTAACTTCTGCAAGGATGTAATATAGCAAAGCAAATACATGCTTGCATGAGTTACTGTAACCAGCCACGCATCCACATTCACTAGCCAAAATGGAAGAGGCATCTGTCCGTAGACTAACCCAAACAGTATAAGGAGCATCAGATATACGTGTCTGAGGCACAACTAATGCTTTTATAAAGCAATATTTAATACAATCTGTAATTCTATTAAAAAACACTGACTTTACATGTCCAGATGTCTGAAGGTTCTGTCCTTCCTTGGAGGCTTTCAAGGATTCCATTGCTTCTGCATATTTTTTGATAACATCAAATGTAAGGTCAGGATAGTATTCACTTCCTTCGAGCCAGTGGGAGCCAATTGTCTCAGGAAAGGGAAACTGCACGCCATCAACGAATAAAATTTTGCTCCGGTTGAGGTCAATTTCAGATTTTCGAACAGCTTGAGAAGGCAATGTTGGAAGTTCGAGCTTTTCAGCAAAAATAACTTTTTCAATAAGCTGTGGTTTTCTGCAGTTCTTAGTGTTCAAGGGAACACCTCTGTCTGACAGATACTTCTTAAGATCTTCTACCTTCCAAACTCGCAATTCTTCTTCAGTAGAAACCATTTTTAGAGAGGTATAATCGAAGAAACCGGTCACAGGACGGCAGTGAACACGCTATTTTCGTAGTAGTAAAAAAACTAAGGTTTGTTTGCCCCCTAGACATCCCAGATTGCATTGCGAAAAAGATGGCGGCAACAACAGGAAAGAGGTCTATTGAAGCATAAAAGAAAGTCATCTTTGAGGCGCAAAGCTGACATAAACGAAGAGCTAACAACCCTGCCAAAAAAACAAGAATTGATTCTCTCAAGAAAGTTTCCCAAAGAAAGAAAAAAGTGTGGAGAAGGATCATAACTTTGAAACAAAAAGTCAGAAATAAATTCCTTGAAAGCTGCGCTTGATCATCTTGAAAAAGAAAAGCTATTGGCTTCTGATGCTGATAATAATATTAAAGGCAAAATTTTTTTGGATTGAAAAGTGAATTGTTTCAGTCAAAGCTAAGTAACCAGAACTGTGTCTCTAAAGGGCATCGCTATTCTGATGAAATGAAAAAGTTTGCTCTTACCCTTCACTTTTACTCCCAAGTTCATTGTCTCATTGGACATCAAGTGTAAATTGTGAGCCAGGATTCTTCTAAAATGTCTTTGAATATTTGCAAGAAAAAGCCAAGGATGATGATTCATATAGAGACTGTGCCTTGATATTTTGATGCTATGTATATCAAATCTGGTGTTATTTATAACAAGAGTACTGGAAATTATGAAGGTTTTGCAGATTTTGGTCCAGATATCCTTGCTTTTGATACAGATGATGTTGCCAAAGATGCTCTTGTATTCATGCTAGTTGGTTTGAAAGGCCATTGAAAATGTCCAATTGGATATGTTTTATACAATGGAATCAATGCAACAAATTTAAGTTGACTTGTTAATAAAGCAATGGAGTTATCGTCTTTGTATTGCCTTAACATTCACACAGTCACATGTGATGGCATTGCCACAAACTTTGATGCAATGAGAAATTTAGGCTGCACATTTGGAACAAAGTTGGATGAAATGGATGGATCCTTTTCTTGTGATTTCTTTGACCATAAGTTGTTTTTTGTTGCTGATGCGTGTCATATGCTGAAGCTTGCACGCAATGCCCTGGCAGATGTTAAAGTTTTTGTTCAATATGAGGGAAGGCAGAGTAAGTGGGACTATATTAAATCATTACACAAAATACAAGAAGAAGAATGCTTCAAATCATTGCACAAAATACACTTGCAAAAAGTCACATAGAATTTCAAAGGCATAAAATGAATGTTATGGTTGCTGCCCAGACATTAAGTTCCTCGGTTGCAGATGCTTTAGAATACATAATGTTTGCTGGCCATCCTGATTTTGCAAATGCAGATGGTACAATAGATTCCATAAGAACACTGGACAGGCTTTTTGATCTAATGAACGCCAGAAGTCTACATGATCTTATGAACGCTACAAAAGACCGCTTTTTCTCCATGACATGAAAATGTGGCAAAAAGTTATTGAAAATTCAATAAATTATCTTCTGCAACTTTAAGTTTCAACCGGTGAACGTCTTTTAATGAACAGGAGAAAGGTATTTGTCCTAGGAATGATGGTAACTGCAAAAAGCGTTTGCCAATTTTCTGAACTTCTTCTCACATGATCTGAAAATCCATTCAAGTACATTTGAACATACATCTTGAACTTCTGTTTGCATGCATTCGTGGAAAAAATGGATTTAAAAGCAACCCAGATATTGTACAATTTAAGTCAAGAATTTTACTGAGAAATTCCATCATTGGTTCAAATAATGCTAACTGCCTTGCGTTTGAAAGGGGTTCAGCTGGCTCTATCTTCTCATTGAAGTGGAATAAGAGAACTTCACCCCTAAATGAAAGAGCAGAGCTAACAGATGATGATTAGCACCATGTAAATGATCTCTGTCAAAAGCTAGATTTTTGTCACATGTCTGACTATTAAGATTTCATTCTTGGATACATCGCTGGGTTTACAGTGAAAAACATTGTGAACAAAATTAGCTGCCCTGAATATGAAACAGCTCTCTAATTGATATGAATGAAAATGATCACAGCTATTCACATTTCTCTGGGCTGTTCTTCCTTTCAATGATAAATGTCAAGAATCGGGGTGGCCTCATACTTCCATCCAAGGGTATCCATGATTGTGTTGCAGAATTTAGAGTGGCAGTAAGTGGCACAGATTTAAAAAAGGAAAAAATTACCTCAAGAAAAAATATAAAAAAATGTCAATAAATATCCTCAATCAACATCTGGCTGGGAAAGATCTGTTCCCTTTGCTGAAGGAGCACGATATGGGATATGGATTGAATCCAGAAGACCCCCATTCATCCCAAATAAAAAAAAGATAATAGAAACATTATAGCAAGAATGTCATCCATAAAGACAGGATAGGTGTCAGGCAACAGGCTACAAAATGTAATCTTTTTCAAGGAATATAAATGTACACTTACCCAAATATACATTTAGAATGAAAATCTCTTAGAAAAACTCTGCAAAATCTACGTGCAAGGATAAGCTTAACAAGATTGGAATGTTTTTGCAAAAGGATACAGACAAATTTTCAGTCAATTGTAAATATTTCTAAATGACTCATTAAGTTGTTTTAATCATGCAAAATATGTGTTAAAACTGGAAACCGATCTGTGCAACTTTCAAACCAGCTCTTTCATTTATATAGTTTCACTTTCATACTACAACTATTTATCAAGTTGTCATAATGATGTTAGAACACTAGTTTGCATTTCTCGCAAACTTAGAAAATACAAAAAACCAATATTAGATGATACTAGCTCCCCCTAGGTAGGGGGGAGGCTCTACTCCCTTAAATAGAAAGGGAGTAGAGGCTTCCCCTTACTAGCGATAGTCACAGGAGCAAAATATAACTAACCTTTCAAAACTATGCTGATTTTGATAATCTTGGTTTTTCTTCGTCTAACTGGCAGTTTACTGCTTGAGTGATTTTGCCACACCAGCTCAATGGGCAATTTTGCCCAGTTAGACATCTAGCGGCTTCGGCGCTTCTATATTTTTGGTGCCCATTAGGCATTGTAAATTGCTATCTGATATCTATATAACTTAAGTCCTCTTCTCCATAGTCAAGTTTTTTTCTTGTTTTATTGTATTTTTTAACACCAGCACAAATGCCATGGTCCGAGCATCACGTCTGCATCATAATTATTGCTTAAAACGATCTTTGATCTACATGAAGAACAAAAAAAATAATTAAGATGTTATTCCATGGTTAATGAAAGCACCTTTTAAAGAAATAGACAGTCATAATGCTTTGTAAAAGTTTCAGAAAAAACGTTTGCCCCGAGAGTTTACCCACCCCTTTAAGCAACTGGTTTTTAGTGTAATTTCGTCAAAATAAGTGCAAAATCATTTGAAATTAGAGGGCAATACAGTAGTATTAGAGGGCAATACAGCCAATGCATTTTATTTTAAGCAAAAAACTACGCAAGAGGTAAAAAATTCAGAGAAACATGTTAATGGCAGGTTTAGGGACTCCTTTCAGCAACCAGTATTTAGCAACAAGTGTAATTCAACCCAAATAAGCATGAAGTCATTTGAAATGGTTTTTTGAATGTTTCATTTACAATTTCGGAAATGATGCAGGCACAGTCTACAGTAACAATCCAGCTTCCTTTGAGCACAAAACCACAAAAAAGGCAAAAATTTGAATTGGTGGTGGGGGTCTAGCAGTAAGCGACTGGTTTTTAGTGTACTTTCATCAAATTCAAAATCATTTGAAACTGTTCTTGTTGAGAGAGCAATACAGCAAATTTTCCTTTAAGCACATAACTACGAAGGGGTAAAACATTAAGAGAAACACGTTTGTTGCGGGTCTAGCGACTCCTTTTAGCAACCGGTTTTCAGTGTAATTTCACCCAAATAAGCATAAAGTCATTTGAAATGATTTCTAGAATGATTCATTTACAGTTCCAAAAATGCTGTCAAACCTTTAAGTAATTTTAACTTGAGAGACGGGCAAATCCTATTTGTCTTGTTGGGAAAATCGCAGAAAAAAATTGAAATTTCAATCGAAAAATACTCACTTGTTGTACCAAAAAGTCAGCAAATCTTGTCGTTCATCTACAAAAAAGAATGCAGTTAGGGAAAGTTGCTGCAAAGGATTGTCGTAAGGCATAAGAAACTGTGGGCTGGCATTACAAAATTCGCATTTCAATGGGTTTCCTATCAAATTTTCATGCATCAAGAATAAATCACAGGAAAAATCTATCATAATTTTTCATACTCTAATTGCAATAGAGCCAAGCCAGTTTCCTTTTAGCACAAAACCACAAAAAGTAAAAAATCGCTGTTTGCACACGGCCAGGTCTAGCGGCTGTTTTCTAGTGTAATTTCATCAAAAGAAACACAAAATCATTTAAAATAAGCAACATCGAAAACTTGTAAGAACACCACTCACCTGTACTTGCATGCCACAGCTTCTGGTGCCAGTGAAGAAGGGGAACAGCCAGCCAGCAGCCATCGCATACCAAAAAAACGGGCAGCAGCGTCTGTATGTCTTAGCTACTAAAACGAAAAAAGCAAGATCATCTAAAGCACAAATTACATGGCTCTTGCAAAAGAAACAACAACAAATGGGGTTTCAATCAATCGATCAAATGAAAAGGAAAGGAAAATGCCGACAAAAGTTTATAAAAACCTAGCAAGACTCACCTGAGGTCCGTCGAGAGCACCCAGCACAACTGACTGATCTGCAACTGTAGCTGTAGCATGACACAACCGGCGACAACGGCTTCGAGTACGAAAAGGAATGCCAATCAGCAGTGTAGATTTATCCAATTCCAAATCCAAATCACTGAAATCATCAGCACACAGTAGATTCTCTGGCGAAAGTGAAGCGAATTTGAAAAGCCTCGGTCGAATTTGAATGGTTGCTGGAGGAAAAAGTTTTCAAATCTTTTGTAGAGAGCAACAGAAAAAAGAGAGAAGGAACCTTTAAAGACGCGGGACAAAGACCACGGAGAGCACTACTGATCTAGAGGATTTTCTAATG